TTATTATCATAATATTGTATTTCTTATAATATTATAATATCGTATTTTGTAAATTATTATAATACTATATTATTTTATATTGTTCTATCTTTTTTAATTAAATACCTTTTTAATTAATTAGTAACTTATGAAAAATGAAGATGGATTACAAACTATAATATTTAATGAAAATATATTTCATTCATAAACGTATATTTCACGAAAAATGAAAATTATACGAAGTATATAAATTTATGTCGAAAATAAAAATTATCTTGAAAATTTTCAGAATCACATTCACGATATTACAGTGAATGAATAAAGCATTGATAGCTTCCTTTCACTGAAATTAAATTATCCACTGTATCATTTATATTATTGTTCGATGTCTCTAAGTCTCTATTTATCTTATTCAGACTTATTATCGTACAGCAATCGGCCATGGACGCGTGAAAGTCGAGTCTCATCGTCAGATCTTATGGTAAACGATTTCACCATTGCAGCTGATCGATTTAAGATTTATGCTTAAAGTTCATCCGAATTAAAATCTGCATACCTGACACGTAATAGAGGGAAGAATGTCGATTGCTGTAAAATTTAAGTACTATCTCTAATAGCAAATTGATTTATTTGAAACGTTCATTTGTGATACTTACAAACCGCGCTCTATGAACTATGAATTAGCAGGCTATAAACAAGAATTACGTTAGCAACATAAATATATATACACATGAAAGGAAAGTTAGACATATGAATATACAGTAATCATAGTACGTAATATAAACTTATGTATAATTTTATTATGATAAAAATGTGATCAGAATTAAAAACGTAGCTTATGTCTAAAAATGGTTATTAACGACAAATATTTAAAGAAATAAATAAACATTTTTGAGAAATACAAATTTAAGAAAGTAAAAGTAACTTAATCGTATAATTACAAACATAAAATACAACCGAAAATATGTACAGCCTGCATTTGAATCCTTCGTCTTTCAGATTTAAATTCATTCCTTTCACACCCTATATATTTCTAGCTCCATAGATTTAATCAAACCGGAAATTAAACTATTTTACAGGTCGTGTCAATTTCACAAGAGCCAGATATCAAATAAAACGATACTTAAATAATAAAAATAATTCTGTATTATAATAATCTCTATCAATTATTTTAACACAGTAACACAGTATTCGCAATGCACAAATTATTTGTCGTCAATTAACAAAAACAGATTCTTCCAAATATCACGTAGAGTGAAAATTCTTATCTTACAAACTTTCCGAACGACTTTGAAACTAAAATAATTTTCGCTTTAATTTCACAGCTGATTAATTTGAAGCCTACCACGAAAGTTCACGCGAAACCCAGACCCACGGGTAGACGTGAGAAAGAAAATCCAACTGGTCTAGTTACGAGACTCGGTGGCACTATTGTTAAGGATGGGCTGACTACCGTCCATGAAACTAGCGTAATCGGTACTTACATAAATGGCAAGTACGCCCAAGTGCTGCAAAGCTCGTCGAGAATTCTTTCGGGAACACCACCGATTCCTGAAGGCAAAATTCGCCCCTCTACTACTCAAAGAATATTGAAAACTATTGGGCCACAACAAGGAAAGCTGAAACCACAACTAGAACCCACTCCAACGAATCAGCAAGAGGAATCGACGTTACCTTTGGAAGTTTTGTTTAGTGCTCCAGCTGGTAAGACGTAGAATTTTTATTTGATAAAATATAAAGATCTTCTTGCTTCTGTTACACGTTTTTTGAATTTCAAATATTCTTCGTTCATCTATGTTCATAAATGACGCGAATTCACATCAGCGACTATGAGTATTCTAAAAAAGACTTCGACTTATTGAACTCTGAATTATTTCGCAATCAGTAGAACGTTAAATATGTACAATACCACGTCTTACTTAAAAGTAACGAGTGAAACACAATCGAAATTTCTCGCCATTAGGTTCAACGGTGAGGAGCACTCGAAAAAATTCGGGTCCGAATTTATCACGTCCGAAGTTCCGTAACAAGGTCAACGATGACTATGATAACAGTGGCGAAGTGCAGCAAACAAAACCGTTTAAAAATCGAAGCAGTACCACCGCGAGACCAAGTTTCAAGTTAGTACCTATAATATCCATGGATATTCAGTTTCTATACTTTTCTTACAATTTTCTGCATTTTTTTTTTTTAGAAATCGAATCCCTCCAACGACAACCACGGAACCACCTGTTACTCGTCGTCGTAGCAGCTTCAGACCAAATAATCAACCGAGTTTACCTTCGAAGCAAATTAATAAGAATAAGATCGAAGCACAACCGGTCAGTCCTAACCCTGTGCCGAAATTGAAGCTGCCAAGAACACAGGGTCGTTGGTCTTACAAAACGACTCCTAAACCGAGAATAGCTATTCGAAAACAAGTAGACGTCGACGATGAGTTACGTTCGCCGTTTGAAACTAGCACAACAGAGGGTCCATTGAGCGTAGATGATAGCAAAACTACCGCAGCTTCTGTTTCCACATTCTCGACCACAACTTCGGTCACCACAGGCCAAATAACTAATGCTCAAAGAAAGATTCAAGAAGTGGTAAACGACGAAGAATTAGATCCGAGTGAAAGCGAGGATGTGGTCAGTGTCAGTGTCCAAGATCAACATTCCGAACAAATCCTGCCAGTCGAGACAATCAACGTTGAGATATCAACGGCTCCTGACATGGCTAACGCGTACTTCGAAATTGCTACAATCAAATCGCCACACGCTTTCCAGGCAAGGAAATTTTTATATAAATTTTGTCTGGTATAAGGAATCCCTTAATCCTTTAAGGTCCAGGTCACATTCGACACTTTATCTCAATTGATTCATAGTAAAGAGTCTAAGTATTTAAAAACGCTATTCAAAATCTTTTGTATCTATATGTTGACATATTTTTGTCAAATTATTGGATACATTAGAATGGAACGTCGAGTTCAACACAATATAAAACCACTAAAAATTAATAGCGTGGAAATTTTATAAATTTGATAAGTCATATTTAATACTAGAGCTATTCAAGCAATCTATAACGTGTATCTAACTGTAGTATACCTAATTAATAATAATTATAGATCGATTTTTTATCTCGATTAAAATTAGTATTAATTTTATCAACACGCTTTCTGCAATTGGAAACACAAAAAATGTGAAAGAAGACATTTCGACTCGCATGATAGTTCTAGTACAAAGTTAAATTTTCATCAATGATCTCGACTTTAATTAATTAGAATTCGCATTGCAAATTGAATATTTGCCTTAAAAGTTAAACTTTTAGGATGCTTTTAATAAAGTATATATTGCTCTTGATAACAGGTTGGAACCTTGAGAAATACCCGTTACGTCACGGTAACTTCAACGATCAAGAAATCATTCTCAACGATAGATCCATCCACTACGATATCACCGTCTGAACCTTTGACAGAAAATATCCTAGCAAATACTGCAGCAGCGTATGAAACGACGTTACCCCTGGACTCAGCTGTGGCAACCCTTCCAGTTATATCTCTAGAATCTGGCCAGGCAACCCCACCTTTGGAGACCTTGACGGAAACCTTCTCTACTACTCAAACACTCCTCAAGACCCATCTGCTTCCAGTAGTCTATGGCGGTAACACCACCAAGTTGACCCTCGTACAAACGTACAACATTGCTCGTGTGGTCACCGCTACGAAGACTTTACCACCCATGGATATCTATCAGTTCATTCCCAGCAAAGCCTTGAACGAGTTCAACACGAAACTAGAAGAAGCAGGTAGCGAACTGCATCTAGAGCTAGACGTCGGTGACGACGACAGAGACGACGATGATATTCCCAAAAGAGTAGTGGCTCCAAACAGCGACAAGGATTCAGACATAGAGCCATTCAAATCTATTTCACAATCCAAAGTGAAGACAGAAGTCCAGAGCAGCAGTACCGCTGAATTGCAACTGACTCAAGATCAGCTGGCTCTGTTGAAATATCTCAGCCAGCAACAGCAGCAACAGGTGATCACCACCACGCGACCGGTAGTCGTTCTCGAGACCCTCTACGAGTCCCACGTGATCCCAGTTGTGAACAACGGAAACACGATTTATTCGACGATATCCAGGCCAGTCGCCACAGTGCCACGGACATCCTATGAATACGGAATGTCCACAATTGCTCCCGCTCTGCCACCTCAGCTACCGCCACAGTTGCCACCACAATTGCCCATATTCCAACAGCAACCGCATTTCACAATAACGAGCACTCCTGTGGTCACGCAAACTCTGGCTACCGTGTCAGATTCTAAAATTCTGAAGTTGACCTTTGGCGCGAAAACGGCGTACACCACGTTGTTCTCCAGCAGAGTGGTACCAACAGAGGTTACCACTTACGTTACGAATACCATACCAGTGCAACCGACGGTTCCTGCGTTCCCTTATTATCCTCCACCTGTCGGCTACCCACCTTATCCCTTCGTAGGGTAGAACCTCGTTAATTCGCGCTAAACGTGCGGAGGTACGAGTTGCTCTTCAAACGTCGAGAACTGGAGAATGTTACTTTCCAAGTACATAGAATTCGTGAAAGGCGAACAAAACACATTTGCACCGGATCAATCGGGAATACTGAAGACACTGATCGGAAGGCAAAGTGACGATGATAATAACAGATTTGGTAGATACGATTCGAAAATTATACAAGTCGATGCGAAATGTTAATAATTGTTAAATCATGGATTGATTTGGATCGTACAATTCGATCGATCGGTTCCAATACCTCTTTTTACCGTCCAGATATTTGGTACTTTAGCGTAATGTTATTTATGGTATTTAAAGTCTAGGATTTAGTATTAGTATGTAAGGTACAAGCTGCTGTTCTGTAACTTTCGAGAAATAGAGAGCGAATAGTGACACGGAATATGAAGAGAATAGTACGTGATCGTTGTACTTCTCATCGCAAATCGTTAGGCAGTGGACGCGCATTGACTGCTCTGGTCTGCAATGTGTTAAGAATCTTAATGTAAGACTTGTTCTTGTTCATGGGTTACAATGCGACATGCCATTTATGAAACGTTTGTGGGATTTGGGAATTTGGACATTTTCAAATGAGGATAAACATGAGATTAAAAATAGATATATACAAATTAGGTGCAATTCGGTACAAATTAAAAATAGGTATATACAATAGCTACCAATTGTAAAAATAGATACAGTAAACGAGAGATGGCTAGTCTTCGTAATAAATAAACGAAAAGAGCTACTTTTTGTGATCCACAAAAGATACAAGATACATATTTCTTACAATTAGTGGAATTATACACTTGCAAAGACTGAAACCATATGCGTTTAATATTAAAGACGTAGGTGATAAATGTGTGTTATTCAAATGAATACTTCGAATATAGAAAGACTATCTCTCTTATCTATTTCAAATAAAAATTGATCAAACGTTTACTGTATGGTATGTCACATTACAACACGTGAGCAATTTAATCAAATGAAGGGAGATACAAATGATGGTTTGAATTTTTTCAGTACTTGTTTATAAATATTTTAATATTTGTTTCGATATTGCACGTTATGAATTAAAGTACGATTTAATAAATGAAAATATTTTCTTTTGCAATCTCTCATATTGAAAAATATATGAGATATATATGAGATATAAAAATAAGCTAATTAGTAATTAACTGCGAATCTTTCATAAGTTTTCTGAATTTATTTGAAGTATGCTCGACAGTTACATGCCGAGCAATATATTTTACAGAAATTAAAATTAAATTTGGAATAAATTGATCAGAATGACGTACAAAAGTTGCTTGTAAGAATTTTCCACGTAAGATAAAATTTAATTGTTTATAAAGAAAAATAATATTTTTATATTTTTTACCGTGGTTATATGTAATTATAATTATAGAATTGTGCATAAATATATTAATGTAGATAATGTGCAGCGTCAAAAACAAATAAAAAATTTACAAAGAATTAATCTTTCTATTTGTTTGATAAATAGGAATTTATTAATTGGTCAATAGAAAAGATATTGTATATAAATTAATAATTATAGTGACTATTGTATTGGTTTTGTATGTATATTAAAAATTTTGTAAATAAAGCGTCTAAAATTAACATGCACTTTTCACTTTATTAGATAAAATTAAAATGTGTAATTGAGGAAAAGTAGTGACCAGTTTATTTTTGAAACATGAGTAAGAAATAATTGGTTACATTCAATTATTTCATTTCACTGCAGATAATAATTAACCGGGTGTTTTTAATTAAAACGCTCGTCTCAAACTTATATGAATATAAATTGATTAAATTGACTGTTATTTACAAAGAACAGACTACTTTAAAATTCAACAATTGAAAATAGAAATATTATATAAAGTGATCAAAAAGTTTGAATAAAAATATAGTTTAATTAAAAAAGTTCAAATATTAAATATGCATGTGTAGAAAGTATGTCGATTGAAATAAATTATATCTGTCGTTTAATTTAATATAGAAAATAATGGTAGATAAATAACTGTTATATTGTCATAATCTTTTATTTTTATACTAATCTTGTTTGTTTTGTATATAAAACACTATTAAAAAAATATTTACTTCTATCTAATTCATTTGAAACGATACACGTTTCATTCAAGACAGAATTATTTATCGATAAATTATATTCAGAGAAACGCGAAAAAAATATAGAAATATGTGAAGAAAATTATTACGACACATATTTCTCTACCAACCTTTCTATGTCCAATCATACAGAGGATATGACTCGTCCCAATTACATGACGCATCTTACACTCGATAAAAGTACCGATATTATTTATGAAGGCATCAAATCTACCTTTAATGACGCGAGAGAAATTCGAAAATATAAAACGTGTGAAGATACATAATGAAACTTAATTCTAATCTTAGAACAGGTACGCATGTCTAATTTCACTCTGTCCACGAGCAATGAAAAATTTTCTGTTCAACAAAACCTAAGAATACCTGTTCTTCGACGATTATTCGTTAATAATTATACTATGTTCAAAAATGAAGCAAAAAAGAAAAGAAAAAATATGGAATATTCCATATTCTTTCTTCGAATTCCTCAAACATGCTATTATTTCAAATTCATTTCACTTCATTTTTCAGTCTACTTCCTTCCCCGTGTACTTCAATTCGGGAAGTGATAAAATATTGTCATTAATAGGCACGTTAGTATGGAATGTAGATGTTGATTACGATATGCGATGAAAATTGTCGTTTAATTAATACAAATTAGCGTTTAAACGTGTTATACTGCTCCTCCTTCTTAATAGCTCGGACCAACGTCATACTAAGGGCTGCTATGATTATCTGCAAAATTTGATTCGTTATTAAACGGGAAAGTCTTCCGCGATAAGCTGATATAGAAAACAGGTGATGATATTGTTACATGTTCTATGAAATTGTACGCAATATGACTTACATGCAGCATGCATAGAGCCAATGCCAAGCCAGCCAGCCACCCCGTTCTTCCCTCCAAAAACCATGAAATTTCTTCGACACAACCATGAAAGAAAGCGTTCCCAGTGACCGTGTTTCTGCATTCGGTAGGTAGTGGTTTCTTCAAAGCTAAATAATCCATCGGGCCATCAGCTCCACAGCAACCGATCTATTTTAAAACAACTCGATTAACTTTACGATGGTTATTCAGACATATGCAAAATGAACACTAATAGAAACGTTACAAATTTCTCTCGACTACGTTTCACGTTACATTCAACGTATTTTTCTTTTTTATATGTATAAAACACGACGTAAAGTTTCTTTTTAATTTCGTATTTTTGCTAAAACCACAAAATTAATCGGAACGAGCAGTTGCAGATATTTTAATTTTACAAAATTAACCTCGATTTTTATTGAGATAAAAATACAATTATATACAATTGTACATTAATTATTATCGTGTCACTTTAATTATAGTAATTCGTGTGTAGTATGTTTAATTTTCCGCGACAAAACAGAATCATCCGATTATAAATCAAATTTGATTTTACAAGGCAAGGTCAGTACAACTCAAAGCAGTTGGCTGGACACATTACGTGGGTGCATATGTAACATATGCATATATCGCACTAGTTTTCAGAAACACTGAAAACTACAGCTATTATTTTGTCGCGTACTGTATTTGCTGTAAAATAATGCACGAACTTACACTTTCTTGGATTAATTGCAGAATGAACACTGCTCTTTCATTGTGGTAATTATTGATCAGTGTGGTCATAGATCGTCGTATGAGAGGTTGAATTTTGCTGTCGTAGGTGGAATAATCGAGGAGAAGCGCAGTTCCTACCAGGCCGACAGCGTAAGAAAGCAATTGCAGTCCTATGTACTTGAAGAATCAACGCAATTAAGTTTCTGATGAGTCACATACAGTCTAGTTAATAGGTACATCAACTACTGCAAAATAATTTCGATTAATTTATATACGAATAATTTCTTATCAAATTATAAATTACGTTATAAATTATTCCAATTAAATTAAATATAATTGAACAATATAAGTCATAAGAGTCAAGGAGAAAAATTTCGAAATGTATAAGAGCTTAAAAAATTTTGCAAAGAAGAAACTTGAGTGGAAGAATGCAGAAAATACGAAAAAATCTTGTTTTTATAATACTATAAAATAAAGTAGACGAACCCTAGAATATATTATCATCAAAGTAAATTTTTGATATGAAAAGATAAAGTTTTATAAGAAAATCTGTAATAAAACACACGGAACATCTCTGGCAATGAGGGTGTGGAATATTTCGTTTATTTCGGTTATTAATCATTTTTATATCACGGGAAATTTAGTTTATTTTAAAGCTATTTCACGCCCGATAGTTTCGACTAATATCAAAATTATTTCGCAAATTATAATGAACTAATAATTGTAACGTATTTATTCCTTACAGCATAGAGGCCAAGTATGTGCTCCATAAGGGCGACTCCACACCCAATAAACGTGATAATTATGATGAACATCGAAGCCGCAAGTAAGATGTAGATGCCAATGTAAAATTCATATATTTCGAGGAACTCGACCCACTCTTGGAAACCTGGATCCAGTCTTAACCACATGCATAATCCAAACATAGAACTCCCAAGTAACTAAGAAAAATGTATAACTTTTAGAAAATTATTTCACATACTATACAGATTTGTATACATAAATTATCCCTTATACAAAATTATTTATACAATAGTATAAATAAATGTTCTTCTTCTTTCCTTTTTGCAATTATATAATTTATTAAATTATATCGAGATAATTTAATAAAAATAGTACTTGTTGAAGTGAAAGGAATTATATAGTGACATATATATACAATACAATGGATAAGAAAGGGTAAGAAAGTATTAGCACGCCATATTGCAAGGAAATTCATCTAACCAGAAAGATTTAATTTTAATGAAAGTTTGTGTACTTACATGTAGAGCATAATGAGTTCTACATGGAGCATTTTTTCCAAGAACAAAAAATCTTTTTAAGGGAGCCAAATAAACACTTAAAGTTTTAATATCTTTTCATACTCCGATTATAATCTTTTTTCGGAATTTTGTTCACACTGCGGTGACAGAGCATTAAAAATTGAACATTTTCTTGTATAAAAAGTTTCGTTGTATCTTGGACTATTATAAAGGTACATTTTAAAAATTGAAAAGGACACCTCTTCAAAGTTCGTTATCCTTTTTTTTTGTTTTGATTGAAACTGATACGTCTTTTTAGTTTTTTTTTTTTTAAATAAATTTTTAGTGATGTTAGGTGAAGAGAAAAATTGTTGTATGTATTGTATAATCTATTATGAAATATATACTCATAAATTTTTATTCAAATTAAAAAATTCAAATCAGTCTCTTCTAATCAGGTGAATTTTCCTGTAATATAATATACCAATACTTGTCTTATCCACTGCATATATACAGTGAAGAATTATAGAATTTTTTGGTGTGCCTACTTAAATAGGAGATCCTGTATATATCGAACTTTATCGAATGCTTTCATTTCTAACATTTAGTTCTTAAGCCTTTAGTTAGAGTTTCGTATTCGTCACGCTGATAAACACAGATATGATGGCCACGCCGTGATCTGACTCACATTGATTCAAATGTAACGAGGATATATGTTGCAATAAGAAACGTTTAAAACTAAATTGCCTCTGCAAACACATTTACATAGTACAACATTATCCAAGCGCCAAGAATCGTTCGCGTAACAGAATTATTTCTTGAAATGTAGCTATGCCTGACGTCTTGACTGTAGATAACTATATAAATACAAAAAAGTAAGAAATGCTGCAGAGAAATATAAATGATATAAATCGTAAAAAATTTGAGCGATAAGAATGGAATAAAGCGAATATGAGAAAAGTCTTGCTCTCTATGATATCTGTCCATATAACAACGAGAGATCACTTAAATCCTTCTCTAACAATTGAATTTAATAAATAACAATCAATAAGAATGCGTTCGATAATTTCAGTCAATGATTAAATGCAACCATATCTTATTACATGTTTTTACATTTGTAACACTTACCCATATGATGGCATTCAGGCAGAAAATGGTAAATTTTATACACTGGATTCGCTGCTCCAATTGATTGCCAGAAGTTTTGACAACCATGGTTCAAGATTTAAATTTCAACACACGTGTATTGGAAAGAAATTTTATCGTAAGGAAACAAGCGAAATTTTAACGCGGATTTCTTCCGCGAAAATTACTTTGTGATTTAATATGAAAACGTGGACACCGTGGCTATAAAGGTATACAGCGATGTATACCTGACTCTACCAGCTAGTATTCTCTTTATCGTCGGCAAATATAAGATAACTGGATAAGTACGTCCTAGATAAAAGAATCGTTGCAAGTGACTCATTCATATTACGGAAAATTATCATTAAAATGACCGTCTTCAAAAAAGGGCTGGTCGTTATTTGTTATTGTTTTTCTTCTCATTCCACAATGCTCGTATATATCATGGAAAAATAAATTATGGGATATCTTAGTAGAGCATTTTAGTAGAGTCGAAAGTAACAAAATTAATCTATGTATGAAGATAAATATTTACGGTAAATATCAAAGATTATTAAATTTATCGAAATAAATATGATAATAAGATGAGAAATATGTACGTAAATCTACTAATGGCGAGGAGTTTTTTCTGATTTTGGAAACAGAATTGCGAATTAAGCTAAACGTCTACTTCTATATTATTATAATATTATACAATAATATTATTAACAATATTTTACTGTCTAATAAATGTATTATAATGATACAATAAATAATTTATTATATAAACTTTTAAAATTCCATATAT